GCGCGCCGGCCGGCCCGGGACCCCCGCCCGCTGCGCCCGGCCTGCCCTCGCCGCCCGGAGGACGCCCCCTGGCGACTCTCCGCCTTCTCGCCACTCTCGCGGGGCCCTTCTCCCGGTTTTTCCTCTTCTCTTCTCCCCTACCCCCCACTTCACGGAGGGAGACACCTGACAGCTCCCTGTCTCCCCTTGACCTTCCGGCCTGTGCTGGGCACTGGGCTGCCCTCCCCGGGGCTCCAGGCTCCTCTGGAGAGGGCGGGGAGGGCTGGGCGCCCTGAACAGAGGGCATAAGGTCAGCGTGCAGGAGAGAAGGCCCAGGGCTGAGCAGGCAGGGGACAGGCAGGGAACGGGGCTGATGTGCGGGGCGCATCTTGGGCGGAGGGAAGGGAAGAGGCACTGGGCTCTCTCCCCTCCTACTTCTCCCCAGGTTTCCCTCCCTCCTTCCGCTTCCCACCTCCTGTCCAACTCCCCCACCCTCCAGCTGTGACTCAGGCCTGACCTTCCTTCCCTGGGGTTTCAAAAGGACCCCATCACCCCACTTAGTAGTCCCCAGGCGAAGGTCAGAGTCTCCCTCCGTGCGGGTGGAGGACTGCAGTGTGGAGGGAACAGATTCGTGTGTTGCCGAGGCCAGGACGGGTGCTAGCTGAGTTCTGAGCTTGGTGTGAAGTGGGCTCTACAGCCCCAGCTTCCCTCCTCAGCTGGATTGGGGACTCTGGGGTTTTATGTGTCTTGACCCTGCAACTCCCACCCACACCCCACACTCACTCACATGCCCCCAACAACCCTCAGGCCTGTGCCCTCATCCACCCGCATCCCAGCACCCTTGGGCATGTGGGCTGCAGACACCACATGCGACAGGCTAGTATCTAAAAGTGACAAGAGAAGCCTCCACGCCCTGGTGGATCGGATGTGGAGCCCCACACTCCCGGGCCTCGGGCAGGGGATGAGGGCTTCCTTGGCCCTCCAGCACCTCTTGACGCCCCAGATCCTTATCCCACCTGCTTCCAGACAGCTGTAGGGGCAGAGCTGGGGCTGTAACCCTGGCCTCCACCCTCAGCCACTAAGCTGCCTCCATGACGTGGAGTCTCTTGGCCTGGGTCCTGGATGCTGCAGGGGCAGGGGCTGGGCCTCCTGAGTTTGGGGTCCCTTATGCTGGGTGAGGGTAGCAGGGGGAAGGACAGGGTGTATCTATGACCAGGGTGGGGCAATGGGAGCTGAGGGCCATGACAGTGCGGGGGAAGGCTGGGGCAGCCTAATTGACATGGTCACCCGGAACCCTCTTCATCCCCAGGGGACAGGGAAGCAGGTTTGGTTATGCCTCAGGAAGAGCTGACTCCACCCCTGATGTGCTGTGTGGCCTGGGCCAGTTCCTTCCCCTCTCTGGGCTTCAGGCTCCCATGTGCCCTTTTCTCCTCAGCAGAGACCTGGAGTGGGGCTTGGGCTTATGTGTGGGTGGGTATTCTGAGTCCCTGCCCTCCCTCCAGGTCTCACCCTTAATTCTCCCATGTTGGGGCTGATGGCCAAGGAAGGCTTCTCAGAGGGCTTGGTGGGAAGCTGGCATCGGCCGCTGGAGAAAGTGTGTGCAAAAAGCCCAGGGCATGACAATTGCTCAGTTGTTTGGGAGAGCTGGGCTGTTGGTGCTTGCCCAGAGATGAGACCACAGGGGTTAGCTGCTGAGGAGTGGGCAGGGTAGGAAGGTCAGCTCAGGTACTAGGACGTTTTCAGACCCTGCCACGCTGCAGCCGAACCTCGGCCACCCCAGGTGTCCCATCTCCAGTGTGCCTCTTCATGAATCAGCCATTTGAGGCTCCAGCCCCAGGAGGAGGGTCAGGCAGAGTAGGAGAAAATCATGGGTTGTGAGCACCAAAAGCAGCTGGGCTGAAGGCCGGGTCTCGTTGTCTGTGGGGAAGGTTCAGTCAGATGCTGTCACAGCTGGGTGGGGGTTGGGTGTGCTGGGTACCCAGGGAAGTGGCTGCCCAAGGTCACATAGCCTTTGGGTGACGGGCTGCCACAGGGAGATCTCCTGGCTTCCCCCTCCTGTCATCTGTCTGTCCTCCATGCCTGTGCTGGCAGCTGTCCCAGGACCCAGCAGAAGCCCCTGCTGTAGGAGGGGAGTTAGGTAGGCAGATAAAGAAGGCTTCCTGGAGAAGAGGGGACTCCGGGGGGTTGAAGAATGAGTAGTTTTATGGGAGGACATGGAGGACCGGGTGTTGTAGGCAGAGGGAGCCTGTGTTAGGAGAGGAGGCTCAACTGGGGAGGGTCTTGGAGACTGGGCTTCGGGAACAGGAGAGAAGGGGAGCCTCTGGAAAACAAGGTGGCCCTAGTTACATGTGACCCCATTAAGAGTTTCCTGACCTGCTCTGAGAAAAGGTCCTCTTGGGGCCACAGGTGAGGCTGACTAGGGGAAACTAGATGTGTGAGGTCCATTGCAGGAGAGAATGGAGGCCCAGAGAGGTCCAAAGAACTGTCCAGGGCCACACAGCAAGACAGTGGTGGCCAGGGCTGGCCTTTGGTAGGCCAGGGCCTGGCTGACGCGGACGCAGGAAGCTGAGAGAGCCACCCCTCACCATTCTGTCCACACAGGACACTGACAGAACTTCTGAAGCAGCCTGGCTCCCAGGAACCGCTGCCTCCACCTCTGGGCCTGCCCCTGGGTAGCTGTGTCCAGGTGCAGATGGGTGATGGCCTCTCCCGGAGCTCCCCGCACAACAGCACAGGTGAGTAGGCTGGTGGTAGGCGTGGAAAGGGCTTTGCTGGGGGGTAAGGGCTGGTCCCTTAGCTGGGGGGATGGAGGCTCTGATCAGGGGCTCCCCGAATGGAAATGCGCTGCCTGCCTCTGCAGGTGTGTGAGTAGGGACTGGACAAGCCGGCCAGCTCTCCTTGGTGGAGAGGGAGCTTCTGACGGGTCCCGCAGCCTCCAGTCTCAGAGGCTGTGATTCTGTGAGGAAGATTCCAGAGTCAGAATTTGCTGGCTGGGGCTGTGGCTCAGTGCCCCGGGGTCTGGAGCCTCCCTCTTGATCTCGCTGGGGAGGCAGCGCTTGGCAGTCCCCCACTCCGCAGGGAGCAGGTCCTGGGACTCAGCGCCTGGCTCAGGCCTAAGTGCTGGCGAGCCTTCCATTAGGTTAGCACCCCTCAGGGCTGGCTGCCATAGATGTCATTCCCAGCCAGGCCCTGTCCGGGCGCTGGAGATGCTGCCTTGAGGACAGGCTCCGCTCTCGGTCACTTCTCCCCGAGCTGCAGCAGTTGGGGAGAAGGCCGCGAAGTGGCAGTGGCGCAGGTGGAGTGCGCCGGCTCAGAGGGCCTCGCCGCGCTTATTTTCCCCTCCCCCTCCAGACAAGAAACGCCTCAACAACGCGCCCCTGGGGTCCGCCCCCCCAGGGCCCCCGCGCGGCCCCCGGTTGCAGGGCGGAGGCAGCGTGACGCTGCAGCCGGACTATGCCAAGTTCGCTCCTCCGAAGACAGCCACGCTCCAGGCCGCAGGTGAGTGGCCCCTGCGGCCAGCGCGCCCCGGGTAACCGAGCTCCCGGACTGCAGGGGTCGGTCCCGGCTCCGGGTGCCACATGTGCCGGCCTTGCCCATCCGCGCTCCGGCCAGCGCCTGCAGCCAGTCGGCTCCCGGCCTCGGCGGTGCCCCGCTGCGACCCCAACCCGACCCCGCCTCCAGGCTGGGACCCATCGAGGTGTCCAGAGCCCCGCGCCACGCGGTCTGACTCCGCTCCCGTCTTGTCCCCACAGAGGCCGCCCCCCAGGACTATTACCAGCGTTTTCCCACCACCGAGCCGGCCCCGCGGACCCTCCCC